AGACTGAGCAAGGATTCACATGATTCTTCTGATTTTAAAAGGATCTATTCATATACACAATGAATGCTGGAAAGCAGCACCCAACGAGAAGCCCCACAAATATTTCTACAGAGATAATCATAACTATTGCTTTCCATCAAAGGCTTTTTCTACGATGGAGAATGACATATATTATTTGTGAAAATATTATGTTCTACCCACACTTAGGGGCACTTTGCTGCAGATATGGATACTCTCTAGCCAAGCTCACAAAATGTGACTACATATGATATAGAAGATTGGTTGATAGTAGACAGATGATATTCGATAGACATTCCCCCTATATATATTATGTAATATTATATGTATACAGATATAGACTTATCTAATATAGATCTACCTAAGCTCCAGATAGAGAGTCAGAATTTTGCCCTAGTATTCCCCAAATATTACAAAGAATCAGAGGGAGGTGTACCATGTACTGAGTTGTGTTCCTCTGGAGGATCCATGGAAAGACATGAACCACAATGGTACAGGATAAAAAGATGTGGCTAAATTTCAGTCTTTACTGGTTGAGGAAGTGCCCACATCAATGAGATGATGCTTCTACTGCAGTGTAATAAGCAACAGATAAATCCCACATCTATCTTCTGTTGACTCCTCCATTTGACTTTTAAAGTACTTGACAACCTGGTCCCACCAACTGGCAACCTCCATTTCTAGCCTTTATTTTACATTATTCTCTTTTCCATACACTGAAGTCCAATCACAACGACCTTTCTTCCTATTTCTCACATGACACTCTGTCTCCTATTTGTACTTTTGTGCTGGCTGTCTCTCATACCTGGAATGAACTCCCTCCTCCTCACTACCTCTTAGAATTCCTTATTTTCCTCAACCCTCAGCTCAAGCAACATTTATTACATAAAGTTTTTCCTGATCCACTCCTCCTTCCAACAGGAGTGGCCTTCCCCCCTCCATTATCTTTTAGTTAGTGTGTGTATATGTACACATACATATGCATGTGTATATGTGCATGTAAAATACATATCCTATAGACAGTATATTTATTTTATTAAGCATGTGTATATATATATATATATGCATATGTGTGTGTATACATGTATGGAAAGTCTTTAGAAGGAAGGACTGGGCATTTCTATATACTTGTGTCCAGTTTTGCCAAATCTATGTAACCAGGATTCACAGTGCAAAAGTCAAATGGCAGGTGTGAAGAGGGGAAAAACCTTAGTAATGTTTCACCTTTTACTACTTCCAATACAGGGAATACACTAGTTGAGTCTAGCTTTCAAGAACAGAGACACAGTTACGCATTCAGCTGATCTAACGGGTGTGTTGATAGTACAAAACTGGTTGAGTGGTTATATTCACATACAAAAATGGTACTAGGCCACGTGTTTTCTGCTCCACTTCCACCCACTGGGTCACCATCCTTAACTCAGGGAAATGAAGTAACATATGTAACATCTAACTGTTCCCAGGGAGTCAGCTCTATCCAGATGGCCCATGGCTGTTAGGGTCTATGTGGTTTTATATGGAGGTAGTCAAACGGAAGAAGAGTTTTTATAAATGTACCAATTTTGAGTAGATCAGAAAAAGCTAAATACTGGGGTTGATACAGTTCATTTGAAGTCAGGGTTTGTACTCACAGTGATTCAACCTTAGTTGTCCTCCTCTTCCTCTTTGGAGGAAAGGGGACCGGATTAATCAGTCAGGTAGTGATGACAACTTTGGCCTGGCTATTGTATAAAGAGAGAATGGATTTAATTCCTTTCTTGGTATTGCTACTTAACTGCAGTATGAAAGATTCCTCCAAATGGGAAGGAACCTGATTATTTCTGGCAGCTTTAATCCCTTCTTTTTGCTATTAATGAGAGCTTTTGATAATCTTTGTCACACTGCTTCAATAAAATACCTAAAAATTATTTCCACAGGAAATATATTTTCACTGACCGTAAACTCAACCTGGTTAATACCTAACACCAGAGGAGGCTTTAGAGAATGGGCTGGTGCACTGTGGGGGAATAAGTGGATAATATGACTCTCCATATCTGCTGGAGATTTGTACTGTGAACCATTTGAACTATAGCTTCCTCTGGGATTAAGTGGGAAGAGAAAAGAAGTGGAAGGCAAGGATTGCCATAGATAGTGATAGTTGACCTTTCCCAGATCCATCAAATAGAGGAAGTCACACAAGATACAAGGATCTAGAATAGTAGATGTAGATGCAGTGCCCTGGAGGTCATCTGTTCAATTGCTGCATTTTACAGATGAGAAAATTAAGACAAGAGAAGGAAAGTATCTTGATAGAACTCAGACTACAATTAAGGTCTTCTGAACTCAAATCCATTGTTCTTCCCCATAATAGCACTTACATATCCCAAACCCCAACTCCATTATCTAACTGGCTACAGAAAAGATGGTTTGAGGCAGAGGAAGGGAGATCCTCCATCTGAGGTCAAACTAGAAAAGAAGAAAGAATCCTTGCAAGTATATACATGGAGAATTCCTCCTTCCATCCTTTTTTGAGAAGTTTCTTTCCAAAAATTATTCCTGAACTTCAGAATAAAAGGATTCTGGTTCAAAGAGAAGTTGTTTCACTTGCTTCATTCTCTTCCTCTTTTTCTCTCCTTCTTGTCTCTAAAAAATCAGAAGCACAAGAGCCTGTAAAGGAATTCTCATGATTTCAGTGACCAATTTGTTACAAACCTACTAGTGTAGACCTACACAATTCCTTAGGGTAATGATGAATGAATGACCCAGAAGATAGTTCATAGAACACACGAGATAAAAATAATACAAGAAAGGACATCTCACTAGATCCATTTGTTAGGGTCACACAACTAGGAAGTGTATGATGTAGAATTTGAATTCTGGTCCACCAATATTTCCTAGGTACTTTCCCTTTACGATATAAATTAGTAGCAAAAATGGAGAGCATAGAAAAGGGAATTACTAAATTAACAAATAAATATTGATTTAATACCTAGTATGTGAAAAGCACTGTGCTGGAATAAATAGGCAGAGCAATTCTGACACTACGAGCAACCTGTAAAAAGCGCCTCTTCAGAGGCCAATTAGCTGAATTCTCTGCATGCAGAAAGATCTGAACCTAATCAACCACTGGCTGATCTCTGTAAGTCATTTAATTCTTCAATATCTACATGGAATAACAGTCTATACCCTCCCTGGGTAATGAGTTTAGTATAGGAAAAGAGTTTTACCAAATATAGTTAACATCTTACAAAAGGAACCTGGAAAGCAATTACTATGGGATATTTCTTTAATAAATGTGGTCTAGGTTTTTAAATTTGTAGGAAATTGGAAATTTTCCAAATAGAATAAATTGTAAAGTCAGCAAAAGCATATCACATTTTAGATTGCTTTTTAATAAGTGAATATTTGTATCATTAAATGGCACAATGGACAGATGTTAGGAAGACCTGAGTTCAAATCTGGCCTCAGACACATACTAGCTATGTGATTCTGGGCAAGACTTTTAACTTCTGCCTGCTTCAGTGTCCTCATCTATACAACAGGGTAAAAAAGCACCTACCTCTCAGGGTTGTTACAAGAATCAAATAAGATAATATTTGAGAAATGTTTTACAAACCTGAAAGCTCTATATAAACGCTAGCTATTGCTATCACAAAAATTAGGATGACTCCACCACCACCACCACCACCCCCTCCAATTTGTGAGGCACATAGAGCAAAGACAGACACAGACCAGAATATGAAACATTATTTAGACATAGCCATTGGCCATGTGTCACAAAGGGAAGCCTGAAAGAGAAGATACAGTCTCAGATAGGGATGGGGAATGTTTTATCACATTAGCCTAATTAGACGTTAACAGATTAGAATGACTGATATGAGCACTGAAGAAGTGACACTTTTTATACAAAGCCTTATTTGGTTCTCACAGTACTTACAGCATTAGCAGAGAAGACTTGAAAGAGCCTGAGTATAATTGTCTCTTCAAATGGTGTCACTGGTACTAATTATGGCCAAAATCCAATACATAATCCAGGTCAGTCATGTAAAAGGTTATGACGTTGAATCAGTAACCACAGTAACTCACATCAGGGAGAATAAGTTGTACTTCTATGCCCGTCAGAACCAAGAGAATGACAATGGGGAAAACAACCTTAGACTATGCTGACTTGGTCAGCATCATATAGCAGGGTCATAAATTAACAGAGGACTTAAATCATCAAGTCAGAGAGGTGGTACAACATAGACAGAAAGCTGGCCTCAGTTGGGAAGACCTGGGTTCTCTGCCATATACTGAATATGTGACCCTATGAGTAATTTAACCTTTCAGTGCCCCCAGACAACTCTATAAGACTTGGCTGTAGAGAAGATTCCCATTTTTACTTAGAGGAAGTCCCTCACTGAGGGCTCCCTGTACCAATGAAATCATAGGTCTAATTAAAAAAAAACAACCTATATGCAATCAACAAGGGTGTAAGGTTTGGGGTTCCCCAAGTAAACACAAAAATTGTTCCATCTGTATATATTGTATTTGTAATATATATAATACATATGTGTGTATTATATATGTACATATATAATACACACACATGTATGTACAGATGTGTGTATTATATATGTACATATATAATACACACACATGTATGTACAGATGTGTGTGTATAAGTTTCATGCTGATTCTGGGGTCAAGAGGTCAATTATCCAACGATCAAAAGCAAAATCAACAGGTTGCCATTCCTTTCTGCCTATCTCTTCTACAAGTCTTCCCGAGGCCAGGGTTGGTGGACAGACCCAGAAAGCATAGAAAAAAGCATTTGAAATAGAACAGCTCAGGGAGTCAACTCTCTCAGGTTGACCCCTCCCTCACCCCTAGCCCCTACCCTGCAACCAAGTCTCAGGCCCGAGGACGAGCCACGTGGCTAACTGATCAGGAGATACCTTTGATCTCACTACTAGACAGGCTCTAAATGCAGAGTGGGGCTTCCTGAGAAGCACAGGACTAACCTGGAGGCAGCTGGTTCTGGGGCAAAGCAGCGGCCTTCCCTTGCCCTGGCCCCTTTTCCAAACGCTCCCCGGGCACGAAGCAAGGCAGGCCTGCTCGGAGGGAGGCCAGCCCGGCTCCTTCAGTCTGTGTAACCCTGGTAGAAGGCTGCAGCACGGAAGGGTCAGCCAAGGGGAGCCCGGAGGAGGTGCCTGGCTTCCTGCTGGGGCTGTCACAGAGCACAGCTTCCCTCTCACTTGGCTGGGGAGGAAGCCGGAGGATATGGTGATGCAGCTGGGGGCTGGGAAGCCTTGAAGATAAAAGAGATGGAACAGGTGACTTTTGTCTAGGCGTGTTGGATGGTGGGGATGAATTATTAAACAGAGCGGTGACAGGTGCCAGCGATGGTGGGGAAGGCCTCTTCTCTTTTGCCCTAGGCCAGAAAGAGCCAGGGTCCACTTTGTGGGACCCACTCGAGGACAAGACTTGGTGGCTACTTAGGGGCAGCCCCGCTTTCTTCCCGATCCTGGCCTCCGGGAGGGGGTAAACAGTTTTTCTGGTGTCGGGGAGACCCAGGCGTTTCCACTCATTGCCTTCATCTAAACTCTCACTCTGCATAACCTTCAGGAGGGCTTTGTTCACGGCTCCCACCTGGCTGGAAGATTCACTGGGAAGTGGGGCTTGTTCTCTGGCCAGTGGCCGGGCCCTGTCCATTTGTGGCCTTTTCCCCTTTCTCTTGGCTGGCTGAGCTGGGACCTCCTCTCCAGGGAGTGTGAGCAGATCTGCTTTGGGAAAACATTCAGACTGGATGGCAGAGGGAAGAGTCCCCTCCGCTATGTCCTGGCCATGGAGGGAAGTGCTCCTTTCCTCAGAATCAGGGAGGGTTTTCACAACTCTCTGCACCTTAGCAGACAGATCCTGCACTTTGGTCACCACTCTGGTGACTGGTCTCTTCCTTCTAGTCTTCTTGGCCGGTTTCTCCCCCGACCTCTCTGCTTCTAGGCCCTTCTCAGGGGTCTCTCCCTTCTCAGATAAACCAGCTTGCTGATTGTCTGCCCTGCGAGGCCCACCCTGTGGCACCTGAACACCACGAACAGCGACAGACCTTGGGGAATCCCCCACAGAGCTACAGCCCCCAGGCAGCACCTCCCCTCCCAAGGTAGCATTCTCATAGCCAGACACAAAGGCCCGAAGGTCTGGCTCTAACTCTAGTGTCCTGGGGATTTCTGGAGAATAGCTTTCTCTTCTGCTGTGGGGACGAAAAATTCCTACTCAGGGGCAAGTTGCCCCTGTCCTCCAGATGCCGATTAGGCCTTGCCCAGGAGTGAGAAGGGCAGCTGCCTGAAGAAACCCTGTCCCTCCCTGAGCCAGAAGTTGATTCTTGGCCGCCTTGCTCTTTCCTTCTCAGTCTCTTCTGCAGGAGCTCCTCAAAGCTTTCCCTTCGCTTGCCAAACCTCTTGTTTTTTCTGTTCTTCAGAGTTGTCCTCTTGTCCAAAGAGCCGGCCGGTGGCTCCCCCTGCAAGCCCCCAGAACTCTGGAAATAGTCATCCTCAAATTCCAGGCCCCCAGACAGCTCAGGAAGCTTCCCCTCCTGGTTCCCCATCTTAATCCCCAGGATGTGGTGTGAGCTCAGCAGATTGGCCAGTAGCCGCTCCTTCTCCGCAGTGAGCTTGTAGAGCTCAATGAGGATGTCTTTTGTAGTGGTTTGTTTGAAAAAAATGTCCCCAGGATTCTCATATGGCTGCTGCATGAGGCTGATGGTATCTGACCCCTCCCTGACTTGATAGCAGTTATGAAACCCTTTACTGGATTTGTCTAGAGTTACAGTGCCCTTATATGAAAATCCTCTGACTTTCCCCTTTGGAAGATAGAAGCTGATGTAGCAGAGTTCAGTAATGGGTTTGTGCAATTGAAGGGTGGAGTGAGTGCCTTCCATTATGCTCACCTAATTATTCATGCATCAGAGTGGTCTGTCTGTGGTTAAGATTCCCAGGCTCTAGTGGTGGGCCATGTGATGGTGGGAATGCACACAAGGCAGCTGACAGTCATCTCCCGTAACAAGGGTGCCTGTAAGAAGGAACGAGGGGGAGAAAAGCAGCTTGTCTGACAGAGTTTGTACAAATCAGACACAGAACTCAAACAAAGCAAAATGATCACAGGATCTAGGGCTAAGTGGGATCTTGGGCATCACAAATGTGTTCATTAAGACTCAGTATTGAAACCACCAACGTCACCCAAAGTAGTAGGTGATTGTAGACTTACCTTCTGCCTATCCATAACTAGCCCCATCTTTTCTCTAGGCTGGAAGTCTGAATATTGCTACATACAGGAACTTACAATTTAAAAAAAAAAAAGAAGAAGGAAAAAAGGGCCGTGTTCTTGACGCTAGGTAGAATAGTGGATAGAACACAATAGGACTTAAATTCTAATCCTGCCTCAGACACTTATTAATTATATAACCCTGGGCAAGTCACTTAACCTCTGTTTGCCTCAGTTTCCTTAAGTATAAAATGAAGATAATACATCTTTTACCTTGAAGCTTCTACCTTGAAGGGTTGTTGTAAAAAACAAATGAGATAATATTTGTGAAAAGCACTTAGCACAATGCCTAGCACAGACCTGGCACTATATACTTATTCCCTTCCCTTATTTTGTTATAATTGCTGTTCAGTTGTGTCTGACTGACTCTATGTGACCCTATGGACGTTGTCCTGGTATTTTATTGGCAAAGATACTGGAGTGATTTGCCATTTCCTTCTGTACTATGTATCCATTTTACAGATGAGGAACAGAGGCAAATAGGGGTTGAGTGACTTGCCCAGGGTCACATAGCTAGTGAGTGTTTGAGGCCAAATTTGAACTCAGAGCTTCCTGATTCTAGGCCCAGTGCTCCATACACTGCACCACCCTAGCTGCCCTACCTTCTAGTGCTATAAAAGTTTCCTTCCCTTATAGTATTATATAAATGCTAACTAGTATTAGTATTGGCCATGCCAGAAATTCAGTGGGACTAAATGCAAGGCTCCTATCGCTTTTATGCCCCAGCACCTCAGTTCCCTTCATCTGCAATATGGGTATCCCAAAAATCTTAGTGCAGTTTTAGGTTATTAAAGCTGTAGATGGTTGTCAAATAACATGTGTTCTCTCTCAGAGATTTTGAGGTTAAGGAGAATAAGTGCTTTAAGATCTTGGGGTAGGGGGGACACGTTTGGTATTACTTTACAAGGATGAATCAAATCCTTTCTTCTCTAAACAGCAGCTTCTCTAGTCTGAAAGCTGTTTATTTATTTATTCCATTAAAATACTGCCTTAATACTTTGGCATGACATCAGCAATGACATTGGCTCTGCCAGTGAGTTATGCAGAGCTGGAAAGGCTTCAAGTGAAGGCCCAGTGACAGGCAGTATGTCTAAGACAAGGCTAACTGCATTTAGAGAGGCTCGTCACCAAAACATGAGTTCCTAGGGGATAACACCTTTGATCACACCAATTCGTAAAGACAGTTTACCAGGGTGTATAGAGATTGAGATTTTCACTGGTGGAGGAAACACACATATAGGTATACAAAAAAAAAAACTTTCAGGGCCCCTAATTCTGATGAACCAGCTAATCAGCTAACTCCTAAATGTTTCTAATCCAGTTAATTTCTCTCTGTTTCTTTGAGGCCCACTGAAGCTCCGTATATTTTTATTTGTTACAAGGCAGGCCTGTTTACTGCAGGGGCTCCCTACCACTTCCAGAATCAAATATAAAAATCCTCTGTCTGGCTTTTAAATTCCTTCCTAATCTGGTTTTTCTTACCTTTCCTGTCTTCTTACACCTTCCTACCTCCACACCCCTCACGTATTCTGCAATCCAGGAACGCTGTTCTTTTTTTTAATTTTTAAATTTTTTTTTTTAGGCAATTGGGATTAAGTGACTTGCCCAGGGTCACACAGCTAGTAAGTGTCAAGTGCTTGGTCTAGAGGTCAGATTTGAACTCAGGTCCTCCTGACTTCAGGGCCAGTGCCACCTAGCTACCCCCAGAGGCTGCCCTTGCTAGTCACTCCACTACCACATGGCATTTTTACCACGTCTGGAACATCTCTCCCTCTTTATCTCTACCTCTTGACTCCCTCCAAGTCTCAGCTAAAAATCTACTTTCTGCAAGAAGGCTTTTCCGCTAGTTCTTAATCCTAATGCCTTCCTTTTGAGATTTTCTCCATTTTATCTTGTATATATCTTGTTTGTAAATAGTTGTTTGCATGTTGTCTCCCATTAGACTGTGAGCTCCTTGAGAGTAGAGACTTTTTTTTTTATCTTTCTCTGTATTCCCAGCAATTAACACAGTGCCTGGGACATAAAGGCATGCTAACAGCTTTTATGGGGAGGGAGGTGTATTGGAGGGTTATGGAGAGATGTGGGGAAGGTAGTGTTAGTGATTTTTTTTTAATTTATGGAATAAAACAGTCAATTTATGACAGTATAATAAAAAGATGATTGCACATGAAATTGCAGATCTATCATGTACAACTTGCTATTCCTTTTAAATATATAATAAAGTGTGATAGTGATTTCAAACCAGAAAAAAAAGAGTTTTACTGAAATACCTAAAAATATATAGAAGATAATTAAAGGAAGTTGATAAGGGTATACAGATGAGCAGGGTAGTGTTGAAATTAATGAGTTAAGTCCAATATATACTTTTCAAAAATAAGCCATATATAAAATACTGAGTTACAGTATCATATGCAATCCTCTTTTCTATTCTTTATATTGTTAAGCAATTGTTAATATTTGTTGATGTGCGTCAAGTTAATAATGATATAAAATAAAAAAGAAATATAATGCAAAATAATAATATTAAAAATAAATAAAACCACAAATAAATTAATAATAACAATAACAGAAATAATATAAAAGAAAAAAGAAACATTAAAATCCAGGCCAGGATACAAGGTTAAGGCAGCAACGTGAGGCAAAGAATGTCGGATTTGAGGTTACAGGAATTTGTTTGGCCTCACAGTTCAGCTTTGTTACCTATACGAGTTTAGGTATCTGGTCCTCAGTATCCTCATCTTTAAAATGAGGGCTAGATAACCTATAACACCCCTTCCAGCTCTAAATCTATAATCCTGTAACAGCCCCTTGTGATTTGAAGAGCATCAGGATCTTGGTTCCTGAAATTCCACTACTAGCAATTCATTTCTTTGGATTAAGTCATTTATAGGTTTAATAAAATGAAACTGTTCCTTGGAAGAGGTGATACATTAAAACCAGTCATCAGCTATTATTATATTATCATGAGTCACCTTTTAAACTGATGGCTAATATTTACTTCTCACATTTATATAGTCAATAAGGTACTTATTTACAACAGATAAGCCAGGCAGTAACTATTTCCATTTGATAAATAAGTTGAAACCCAGAAAAGTTAAGTGACTTGTCCAAGATCATACAGATTATGTGTCAGACCTAGGACTTAAACCTAGGTCTTCTGACTCCAAATCCAGTGCACTTTGAGCAAGGAATGAGACATGCAACAGTTGTGTGTGAGTAAATATTTAACAAATGGCTATGGGATAGTGTCATTGAAACACCTAAAAATACACAGAAGATAACTGAAGGAAGTTCACTAGGGGTGAAATATATGCATGACACACATTTAAGTCTAATCTGTGTTATTAACATTTTCTTCATCATTTTCTAAAGTCTAGATAATCAAGAAAACAATAAATCAAGACCTAATTTGTAGAATTCACCAATTTCTGAAGTGTAAATGCTCACAATGCAAATTTAACAATGAGCTGATTCCAGCACACAACCCCTGTATACCACAAATAAAATTTTATTAGGAAAGGAATGAAAAGAAATAATTAATGGAAAAGTCTTGGAGGTTGAGGTGGGGAGTTAATCAGCTAAGAAGTGTCACAAAGGACCTTGATGTACCTGTAGAAGACAGTAGAAGGCCATAAAAATGAAACAGGAGGACATTAAAGATAAACCTTGCCTACACCATAATTTTTCCTAAAGCAGAATCTACTTATAAAAACCCTGCTTGGCCCTTCCCAAGGATCAATATCTATACAGATTTCTAAAAACAGATGCAGAAGTGCCTCTGATACAATGTAAAATTGGATTTTCTTTTTGGTTTTGATTTTCCCTGCATTGAACAAACAATAGAATAACACACCATACTCAGCCCTTCACCAAGCAAAATTATGAATGAGTTTAAGCTGTGAATATTGGACGAATAAGAAGGCAGATCTGAATTTCAATTCAGAGGGAGGAGAGAAGTAATAGCTTTATTCTGGGGTGTCTTGTGAGGAATGGAGCCTTCTTAGCTGTTCTTTCTTGTTTTTGCCACCATTTTTCCACAGAGGCAACTTTCCTCTCCTAAAGCCTCTTGTTTTTTCCAGCTTTCCTGGGCCCTGAGTAAGCAGGAGCTGAGAAATGTTCCATAAACAATGCTAAGGACCTCTACAAAGTTCCTCTCATGGGCTGAAGTGGGAACATCAATGTGCCTTCTCTTTAAAAATCTTCTGCAATGGTTCTAATAACCTAATTAATTCTTCATAGACAAGAGGCATTAGTCTTAGTCCAATGCCTTCTGCTGATTAACTTTACTGCTCTAAGAATCACTGAATAACTTTATTAGAAAAAAAAGGGGGGTGGGGGGCAAGAAGCCAAAAAGATCTGGGTTTGAATCCTGCTTCTGTCGCTTGCTGGATATATGGCCATGGGAGAAATCATTTAACCTAACCTCTCTGGGCCTCAGTTTCTTCATTTGTAAAACAGAAATAATAATACTTTAGTATCTAACACAGATTATTTGTGAGGCTCAAAGAACAATAAGGGGAAAAAATGCTCTTTAACTGTCATTATTAAGTCGTTTTTCAGTCGTGTCTGACTCTCTATGACCCCACTCGGGATTTTCTTGGCAAAGATACTGGAGTGGTTTGCCATTTGCTTCTCCAGCTCACTTGACAGATGAGCAAACTGAGGCAAACAGGGTTAAGTGATTTGCCCAAGGTCACGTATCAAGGAAGTGTCTAACTTCCTGACTTCAGGACCAGCACTTTATCCAC